AAAGTTAAAAATTACTGTAATTAGTGAAATTTGTTCTAGTTGTAACACCACTTATAGTAGATATTAAGGTAGTCTGTTTCATCGTCATATTATAGAAAAAGCGATGTTTCCTAACATAGGCCCTAACAAGCCTAAATGGAAGCATCCTCCCCTGTACTATGACCTTTAAAATGAATGAATAAAACATTTTATTTATTTATTTTATAAGTATTCTAAGTTGTAAGACGTCAGCACAAAATTAACATAGCGGACCATAACAGAAGTCAATATCTGAAGTACTAATTCTTACTTCTACAGCGTGGTATGAACCACGCAACACCGTAAACCGTAAAACTTACACGAAAACGATTTCAAACAATATTGTGGAAACGGGAATTTCTATTTAGGCAGGAGTGTTCGGTACTTGACTGCGTAAAAAGAAATACTTCGTGTGTATATGTAACAAAGACCGTTCCAAACGCGATTAAATATCGTCAGTACAGTGTGTCTGACGAAATCGGACCGTATGTACAACACGTAGCGCACTAAATGAATAAGTTATTTTTAATTAGCCAGTAATTGCACACGACGCGATGTAGCGTCGGCCAGATCAATTTGCTTGAGCCCAGGCGTCGAGCGTTTCGCGCAAATGGTGCGTGAACAATATTGCTCGAGCATTCGTTTAGAACAGTTTCTTTCATGTTTATTTCTCAGTATAATTCTGGAGACAATCCTTCCTTCTAGAATTATCTTCTGTAATCAATTTAATCCGGAATGCTATTAATGTTCAAATGCGAATGAAGACACGATGTCCAAATAGGACACGTTTTACCACGATTTCGTTTAACCATGGTAAACGACTGTTTTATAGGGAACTGTGTACGTTTTTACAATAAGAGTCCGGAGCATTTACAATAAGATTATCATTTCCTAAGTTTAAAAACTACATTAAAAATATTTTAATTGAAAAGTCATTATAAAGATGTATGGAAAAACGATATGGCTCTAGGTTCCACACAAATTTGATTCAAAGTGTATTCCACAGCATTTAAGTTTATTTGGAAAGACCAATCCCTAAAGTTTCTTGCTCGTTCTTCTCAGGGAAGTCAGCGCAGTGAACGTGTAGAATCTTAAATCTGACTTTTTCAAGTGTAAACTTATATAAATTATTCGTTGACTTTGACATTGCCCAGCGGTTTAACAGGCCGCGCCGCCCGCTGCTCCGTCAGTCACCATCGGTCGCTTGTCGACGTCAGATCTGTAACAAATTTTCTCAGCCAGTTCTTATTTTACTCACATTAATTTTAAGCGCGCAATTACGAGTCCTAAAAATGTCTAAAGTGTAAGCTCGTGATATACATCGCCTTACGGCACTGAAAGGTAGGTTCACGAACAAGAGCCTTACAGATGAAGAAGAAGTAGCAGGAGCTATTCACAACAAGTAAATCACACGCGTTTAACACAGACAAAATCTCTAATTTCGTAATGCGACCTTCGCCAATTACAAAAAAAACCCACCAATACATAATAAACGTTATCATTGTTATAACTTAAATAATAATTGGTTATCGTTAATTACAATGTTTATGTTCATAATCAAAACGCAATATGGGGCAAACAAATCGTCCACGTAGGTAAATCGTTTGCCATATATTGCATGATAAAAATTGTTTTCGGACAAACATTGAGTCAGTGGAGTGGTTCAGCGAAATAATTCACAGGATGTTACGTTTATTAGGCATCCTTTCGAGTATGTATCCAATGATTCTGCGATAGCACGTCAGTATCTCTGCAATCTAATTAGAAATGACACAGAAAATGTTACTTTTGAAATTTGTTATCTGCACACCTTCGGCATCTTTTCATTTTCATCTTAAGGATTATTAGTCTTTTCTATTTCTCTGCAGGGCAAAGACGTCTCTCCTCTTTTACCCTTGATACCAGTCTTGGGTAACATCTGGCCAATCCTTTAGAAAAAAGTTCAAATCATTCCATCGTCACCGATCTGATTAATTATTAGACATTAATTTTATATTTGTATTGTATTGATGTTCAATTTTTTTTGTGAAATTGCTCCACTAATTTGTTATAATTATTAATACAAAGATCGAACACTTAGTAAACCTACCTAATTGGGTGACGAAATACTTTCACAGATTTCTCATAGATGGCGTTGCGGCTAAAAAGTCGTTGAAAACCAAATACAAAGATACGACAACAAGCACATATAAAAATTCGTGAGGTCCGCTGGTTCATTACGTGGCTTAGTTGGCATAGCGTCTGGCACGGTTTGCTAGAAGACGTCAGTTCGAATCCAGAGGGATCGAAGGAATTGTTTCTAAGTGATCAATCTTTGTAATAAGTATAACAAATTCATTTTATATTTATAAAAAGCTTCCTTTTTAAGAGAGAATACATATATTTATTATTATAATCATGATATACCTGTACCATTTATAGGTATATGTCTGTCAAATAATCATCCTTTGTATTGTAATTGCTATGGCGACGATATTGAGCGGGTGAAGGCAAGGTGACGCTAGACTAAAGAGGGAGGAATAAGGAAGGAGGGGAGTAGAGGCCCACAGAAATTTAAATCGGATATTACACAGAGCCACAATTTAAATTTATACAATATATTACTTTACCGAACACCGAGTTTGTACATACTTCATGTCCTTTTCTCATCGGAGTTGGCAGAGTCAACAGCCTTCCACTTGCTACAATCTTTTTTTTTTTTTTTTTTTTTATAAACAATTTCGCCTCATCACGCATCAGTGTCAAGTGTCAGGGTTACTATTGACCTGCCCTTTCTTTAGGACGTCCTCAATTTGCTCTGGTAAATTCGCCATGGTTAGCCCTTACCAATTTGCCTGCTCATACATAAATCTGTTTTGTTATCATCATTACTTTTCTTTACATACCCAAAACATCTAAGCAACCCTTTCTCTATCTTTGTCACTACGTCTTATTGCATGCCGCAACACTCTCTTATCACACTCTTCCGTAATTTGTTCATCAAAGTAATCGAAATTGTACTTTTGTCTTAAGATGTAGCTCATTATTCTTCATGAGAGACACAAATTACACCCAAACTCACGAGAGAAATAAATGTAAGCCATATAAATATTTCTTCCAGCCCTTAAATCGAACCCGGGACCTCGGCGTGGTAGTTCAGCAAAATTTATAATTATATAAAATTATATTTATATTATATATTTAGTACAATTTCATATAAGTAGTTAGAAATGTTATTTTCAGGTAATTTTTCATTTTATTTAGAACCATTTTCTAAAAGTTAATTATAATTTTACAATAAGTAACCAGGTGTTGCCTCATAAAATACTTCATTACAGTTTGTTTACATTTAGTCAATTACCTAAATCTGTAGTATAGTTTCTGTCAGGGAAGTCAGCACAGCACGAGCAGTAGCTTATAAAATAACGTTCTCAAGTGTAAATTTATTTGCCTATTTAATAAATGATTTTTTGACTTTGATAAATATTCTATATACAGTCGAGTTCTCATAAATCTGACAAATCTGTAGTGTTCTATACAAAATTCATTCATAATGCAAATGACTTGGTCAATGAAGCAATAAAATCCCGCTGTATCTATAACCAGGCGTTATCACACGTATCAGATTGACCCGACCTCGTAATCAGGCAATTAACTTTAATGGATATTATTTAAATTAGTGCTCCACACTCAATTGATGACCGCTATCTTATACGTACATTTATCTACCAGAAGATGATATCACTCAATTTCAAAGTTGTGAAACCTATTTCAGCTGCCACGTAGTAATATGAGCACATGGGACTTATAAACTTATATCTCAGACTAACGGGCACAGTGGCAGAATGAGATATTTGCGATTAAAAGCAGTGTACAACCACGCACCCACGCACGCACGCACGCACGCGTGCACGCAATAATTTCAATACTCGACTGTATTTTTTTCTTAGTAATCATTGACTTACAATTATATGGACGTCGGGTCCGCGCTAAAAAGTGTCCGAACTTATAGGGCGTTAAAATCGTATACAGAGCGTCATTCACGCTTTAGTCTTCGTTTGTTCGACTGACAGCGAAGCAAGCAAAATTAGGCAGTACTGCGATGACATTACAATTTAAATTCAACGTTTTAGCTTTTTCATATTCCTTTACATGTCACTACGTTGACTTGGGACATTTTTTTCGTGGTTTTTGTATTAGACCAGTCGTCCATTTATTTGTAAGTAAATGTTAGTAATATAATAATTAAAAATAGTAAGCGGAAGGCCCTAGGTCAAATCAAAATGAAATGTATTGTACAACTAATAGCGACTCTTTCGCCCTTTTTAGCCCTTGGGTTTTAATTCCCCAACTATGGATAAAATATCATTGGTAAACCCTCAATATTACTTGTTTGCTCAGCTCTTTCCCAATAGGTATAGACTGTCCCGTCTGTCCACGGTACTACGGTACTTATACTCTTTGACAAAATTCTACACTAAAACAAAATACTATCACTGATAGTGTTTTATTTGAAAGTTGTGGTTGCTGTGAATGTTCTTGTCTATAGATTGAAGTTATTGCTTTTCATAGAGTCTCTTGTCATATGTGGTAATTCCGATAGCTCGATGTATTGGTATCGTCTATAGTTGTCATAATGTATACAGAGTAGTAACGTAATTGCGTTACACACGACCGTGGGTGAATTCACCCAATAATATGCATAAGTTGTACTAAGAACAGTTGTCTCATAATTTATATTCTCAACAAAATATATGGAACATTTTGTTTTCACTATTTCTGATGAGTCCAAATAGAAAAAGTTGTTCTCATTTATAGATGGAATCAACCTCCTCGGGTGTAACGCAATTAAGCTAACACTCTGTATACCAAGAATAACTATTTTGTAGTGGGGTTTTGCTTAAATTGAAATACAATATATTCACTTTCAAAGAAATATTTATATTTTACTACATCCGTAGAAATAACAATGTACAGATAAAAATTCTCTACACAAATAATATTTATACACTTTAGCACTATTTCAATTATCTGGTAAACAAAAATTTTGTACTCCAAAAATTAATACAAAAAATTCCGATTGAAAAAACGATTAAGTATTTGGTAAAAATTAAAAATCTACATTAATTTTTATTCATTACAATTTCATTAACCATTTTTATCTAAAATTAAAGACAAATATTTACAAATAATTTACAAATTCTTATCATCAAACTTATTTCGAAGATCAGTACCATTCAAAAACATAATCTTTTTATATACGATCTATTTCAATCGTACTCTGTCCATAAATTGTTAAACTAAGAGTTCGAATTTCAAATTTTAAATTCACGACGCCATTTTTAAAAGCGCTCGATATTCAAATTCACGGTTGATTGCTAGTCTGAGTGCTTGGGGATGGTGATCCGGCGGACACAGGTGGTTGAACCATGGCTAGATGAGGGGGCGGGAGGCCGAACGCTCGTGGGGGCATGAGGGGGTGCGGGTGGAAGTACTGCTGCAGCGCGGGGTGGGGGTACAGGTGGTGCGGATGACGCGAGAATTGCGCCATTTTCAACTTCTCAATCTCCGCCTCCTGCACGCGCTTCGCTTTCGCCCGGCGGTTTTGGAACCAGATTTTCACCTGTTAACGAAAAACATGGTTTTAATACACATTTAATAATAATAACTAGACTGTTTATAGTCCATATACTGGGCACAGGCCTGTGGGCTTGGGCTATAATTCCCATGCGTGCTCAACGCGGATTGGAAACTTCACGCATCTTTAAATTGCTTTGCAGGTTTCTTCACAATGTTTTAATTTTATATTTTGCACATAAATTCCGAAAAGAGATACAAGCCTGGATTTGAAACTACGACCATCTCTACCTTCAGAGGAGGTAAGTCAAACCATTAAGCTACCACGGCTACCTAAAACACATTTAGATCTCAAATAATCTCAGTACAGAATACTATAGTTTGTTCAAATTTTAATGGGACCATTGCTGGGATACCCGCTTTCCAACAAAAAAAGAATCATCAAAATCGGTTCACAAAAACCGGAGTTATTGCATAACATACATAAAAAAACATACAGACTAATTGAGAACCTCCTGTTTTTTTTTCAGAGCCGTTAAATAAACGGTAAGTGGTTAAAACTGTCGCTTTTATTAAAGCTTATATTAAATAACGTGAGTGGTTATTTTCAACAAAGAATCATACCTACATCATTATTCATTACGCATAGACATCGTATTACAAACCGTACTTTGTAATCTACTTCAACGTCGCCGCTGGATTACCGATCAAATTTTTCTATACCGTTTCATTTCGGGGCAAATTGATTGCCCTGAACTTTTATTACAACTTCAGTTTTCTATTCCTCATCGCAACGCCAGGCTAAGTAACTACCGTCCTTTTAATATCAAACAATTCAGAAGTAACGTTGGCTCCAATGCCATTTTCAACCGAATTTACCATGATTACAATAAATCACATAAAACATATAAACGCAGGTCATCTAATAAGATTTGTTTTCGTTTTCATTAAATAAATTTAAAACTTTATTATGTAACTGCTCAGACTAACAATTCTGTAACTTTATAATTTAATTTGACGACATTTACGTTATTTGCTTTGAATTATATACATTTGTTTGTATGTAACATAACACACAGTAAACACTTCTGATACTATGTTATATGTGCATGCTGTATTTGCCTATTATTGGGTTTACACTCGAGTAATTTCTGTAGTGTTATTTTATGTCTATGTTTAATAGTGTATTTCTGTGGCGAATATAATAAATAATTAAATAAATAAAAACCGTAAGATTCTTGACTATCTCGAACTTGTTTATAATTAATTATTAGGAATCTAAATCCTAATTTTATGCGAATATATGGTAAAATTTTCTTCGAAAACAAGTATACGATAATGTTTGAAGACTAGTATAGCTTATGATAAAACCCTCGGGCATTTTTTCTTCTCATTACAGCCATGGTCGTGTAATGAGAAGAAAAAAGGCCTAAGGGTTTTATTTGGGTCATTACAGTCATTTCAAACTGGATGCAATCATGGTATAGATGGTACGGGAATCACGAACCTCAACTCCCTCAGTCTTCGACTTCGGGCCTCTAATAGGCTCTCGTTGTAGTATTATTTTTGTGTGACAGTGAAGTGTGATGAATTATTAAAAGTCATGTAACAAAAGTTGTTGTTTATGATGTTAGTAATATAGTGTTGCTTGCGAGGTTGTTAGTATTTTACAAACATCGAGTATATAACCAGAAATAGAGACGAAATAAGGACCGTCCATCCTTGGAAACTCATCAGTCAAATGGTACAGATATCACTTTTAAATATCAACTCTCGTTTGCGCTGAAATCTCAAATTAGAAAGCTGAAATAGCACAGCGCCAACAACTGACCAGTGTCTACGTGTCCGTATATTCCAAAAATATTCTGTATTTATTGTAATAAAGATAATATCTCTAACTACGGGGGCTGTTGCGAACCGAATGCGGTGGTGTGGGAAAAACAGCAAAACATCTAATAACAAAACAAACGGAATCACATTTCATCGGTAATTAAATATTAAATTATGTAATTTTTCAATTTGCTTCCATTACATCAAAGCTCAAACTAAACTGGTCGTTTTGAAGTGAAACAATTGACGACACTCGTCAATTCGAGCTGGCCAATCGGAGCGTAGTTGTCACCGTAATGACATGGCAGAATAATTTTCAAACAAATTAAGTCATATTTCATCTCTATTTTTGGTTGTTTACAAATAAATTTAAAAAATAAATTTAATTGCAAAATTAAAAAAAAACTAAGATTTCAGTCAACGATTCCCACCTGAGTCTCAGATAAGCCAAGCGAAGAAGAGAACTCGGCTCGCTCAGCAATACTCAAGTACTGCTTGTCCACGAATTTGCTCTCAAGTGCGCGCAGTTGCTGCGCCGTGAACGGCGTGCGCGGCTTGCGGTTCGGCTTGTGTTTTCGCAAGTGGCACTTGAGTTTTGGTGGTTCACCGTTTGCATCTGTGGAATAAAAAAAGAATATTAATTTTGTGTTATTTTTAACCGATTGGTTCTTAAATACAGCAATAGTAGCAGTAGAGCTCGTTGTGAAAGAGTTCGTCCAGGGAAGTACTGCCACCATACCCATTTTTTCCGCCAAACAGTAATATTAGTATAACTGTGTTCCGGTTTTGAAGTGTAAGGGAGGTGGTGAAATTACAGGCACATGGGACTTATCAACTTATATATCAGGGTGTCGGGCGCAGTGGCAGGCCTCGGATCTTTGCGATTTATTATTTTCTGAGTGGCACTGCAACTGTTATGGACAGGCGTGTAGCTTACCATCAGGCGCACGTTTTGTAGGTCCCGTCACTTGATATTATAAAAAAAAATACAGAATTTTGCTAATTTTCTTTAAACCACTGACTTGAGACTCCACTGAGGTTATATTAAAATTGTGATAATATTTGTGATTCTGCTAACATTGGATTGCAATGGCAATTGAGTCTTAATAGAGTGTCAGTGGAATAGCAATGATAGCATTCATTTATTCATTTGCTAACGATCGAAGTTGCCGTACTCAAACTACCATGGGAGGATTAGAAAAAAATTCTTCGATTCGGCCATGCCAGACGCTGTGCCAACTAAGCCACGGAACGAACCAGGGGACCTCACGAATTTTTCTATGTGCTTGTTTTGTCGGATCTTTGTATTTGGTTCTCAACGGCTTTTTACCATGGAAATTGTTTTTATTTTTATTTGTTTTAAGTAGCAGTTTACTTTTCAAATTATCTAGATAGTCTACGTCATCGGCGAGCTATCGACTCAGTATTCAAGAATGCCAAAAAATTGCAATGGCATTTAAATTTGTTACTTGTCAGTACAAGCCACTCTTCTTGACTTTTTAGCAGAATACCAAACGTATAAACTCCTGCCACTGACTTGTATCGACAAACAACTGAGATGGTTTAAATTTAGCAGACTTGAGATCCAGTTGTTTGGTTAAATTTGCGTAGAAATGTCTTTTCGAGATATAAACAGACTTCAATTTACAAAGAGAATCGGGGTTTATTTACTCAATACGGTTTTCTGTGAAGCAATCTTATTATTTAAGGTATCTTGTAACCAGTTTAAGCGTTTGAGCGCGGTGCTAAATTTAACACAAAATCCATGCTGACAAGGTAGAATATACAATGTACCGGTAAGGTGCCCAAGATGCTGGCAGTGATCCCCCTTTGTATTGCTATGCTAATGCGTGGAGCAAGGTAGCCGGCCCTTGGGTTTCCCAGACAATCTATTAATTTTTTCGATAAAATTTTATACAGATGACGCGCACTGGGACCCCACGGGCCGAGGGTTTCGACTTCAAAGGCTGTAAAAAGGTAGTCGGATCCGAGATCCTGGTACTTATTACTTTTGCCGCGGGGACCCAATTTTATTTATATAATCTAGCAAAATCGAAATAAAATATTAGCAAAATCGACCACCATCATAAGGGCTGTTTTAACGTGTAGGCAACGACGGTCGATAGCGGCTACTTGCAACTTACGCGTTCTTGTCAACCAATAACGTTTAAGGGCTAAATCATTATTTGTATTATAAACACTGACTTACAAATAAATGGACGACGGGTCTAATACAAAAACCACGAAAAAAATGTCCCAAGTCAACCTATTTAAACGTAGTGACATGTAAAGGAATATGAAAAAGCTAAAACGTTGAATTTAAATTGTAATGTCATCGCAGTACTGTCTAATTTTGTTTGCTTCGCTGTCAGTCGAACAAAAGAAGACTAAAGCGTGAATGACGCTCTGTATACGATTTTAACGCCCTATAAGTTCGGACACTTTTTACCGCGGAGCCGACGTCCATATAATTGTAAGTCAATGATTATAAATAAAAGGTTTAAACAAAGTAAGCTATTTTGGTCACGTAACACGTAGAAATGCTGATAACCTGGAGCTTTTGATGGTGACAGGGAAGATGAAGGGAAAGAGACCTAGAGGCAGGAGTCCCAAAAGGTGATAGGATCAGATCTCTGAACATCTGGAGCTACCCTGTCAGCGCCGTACTACACCATGCGACTGTACGCAACCAATGGAGGCGAATGGTTGGCAGGATGAAGTGGAGTCACGATGATCCAGCAGTGAGGAAGCGATTACGAAGAAGAAGAAACAAAGTAAGGGACAGTGCTAACTACAATTTCCGATTACAAAAAATCCGCGAATGTAGTATTTGTAAATGGCGCGTATCTACACCAAACCAAATTTTACTGATTTATATTTATGCGACTTTCATTTTTACACAGTAAGCATTAATTTATGTCATCTACGGACTGATAACAATAGATTCGCGTAAATCACGCAAATTTTGGTTTTGAAACAAATCCAATGTCTCTTTCGTTCACAACTTTATCGCAAAGGGTGCGATATAAGCAATAACTCGAAGTCTATGCAACATAAACAATAGATTTTAAAATTATACGTTTTGTAAGAAACTACTACGCTAAATGAGTTTGGTCTATTGTATATTACGCCTATTATGAACACGGAAATCGATGGATTTTGTTATTGAACTTTGATGTATGGTTTAAACGAAATAATGGTTATAATATACTGGTAACGAACGGTGGAGAAAACATGTTCAGTGATTATTTAAATCCAATAGGAAAGATAATTTAGAAACCATTTGAACCGAGTATATTTTATAGAAAATAATTTCAAACAACAATGAGGCATTATTTACAATAAAGGAACCGTGATATGGGTATAAACTATTATATAATAATAATAAAACCTTATTGAGGAACTGCAATTTCCTTACACCGTAAATACAGAGTGTTATAATGTTCAGCTTTATATCACCTGACCTGCATTGGCTACAAAGAATCAATCATGTTGAATTCCAAGTGTTCAATGTACTCGTTACAACTAGAAAGGAAGGCATTAACCATAATGCGCAAAGAACTCAACGTACAAAGAGCGCCGATCGTATTATAAATCGCAATAATAAAACTCATATAAAAAATAATAAAATAAAAGGCGAAAGGAAACGGACTGCGGTCCGGCCCTGATACGATCTCTGAGACGTAATTTAGGAGGTAATTTTCGGCTTATTTAGAGGTAAAAACAAGAGAGTTGCTAAGCAAATTGACGGTTTTATTGGCGAAGCCGGTTTTAAAAATTTGATAGACACCCACGCTTGAACGAATGTGTGATTCGAAGATAAATATTTCGTCACCACGGCATGTTTAACTATCTTGTTTAGATTCTAAAGTCTCTTAAAAGATGTTGAAAGCAAATGGATAATACTACACATGGTCTTTAATGCCTGCCTATGTAGATTGCACCTTTGCTGCTCCACCTGCCCGTTAAACGTTACGATTATGGTATAATCCTTTTTGAATGTATGTAGAAACCTATTTTACTGGAATGGTTGCGTTATGGGCATGTTACCACCCTACAAATTTGTACAAAGTAGCAGTACTGAGTTCCGGACTGAAGAATACTCAAATCAAAGCAGTCAACACACCCCGTCAATGTCCATCAAGTAGATCGCAGCATTTTATGCTTGCTTACGAAAAACGAAAAAACCTTAATGCTTATTAACAGTGTTTCTTTTGATTTAAACGATATCGATTACGATTTTATTATTCAATCAAACTATTGAAATAAAACTGGATTTTAAATGGTTTCGAAATTTACATCTTGTCTTGAGTAAATCAACAAGACGTGACTTGAGATTTATAATCTTCTCTAACAGTTTTAATTGACTGTCCTACATAATTAGCAATCAACTAATTGCTGCTTAAATAATAATTATCACTTTTGGACGTTGATTGATTGACCAACGCGTGTCGGGAAAGTTCCGTCATGAAATCATTATGTCAATTAATTAAGAATGAAATTATGCGAACCAGAAACTTTTTACGATTTTCCTCCTTAATTTCCTTTAATTTGGTAGGTTAACTTTGATGTATATTTAACTAGAGGAGTTAGGAACGCTAAAGAATAAACTAAGCAGTGCAAAAGGGAAACGTCACCGACCTCCACGGCACTTCGCATCAAGACTATTAAATTTTCTACATTTAACTTGAACCTTCTTCCACTTTTAGCATATTTAGTATATTACGTCGTTTATTTGACACTACGTTATAACTTTTTAATATTTAGATAAATGTATTTAAAGTACATGATATTTAATGTCCACTTCTGTAGTAGCGGTAGAGCTCCTTGTGAAAGAGTTGTCCAGGTTTGTACTGACACCTTACCTATTTCTGCCGCCAAGCAGTAATGGCAGCATTACTGTGTTCCGGTTTTAAGGGTGCTGGTGAAATTACAGGTACGTGGGATTTGTCGACTTATGTTTCAGGGTGACGGGCGCGGTGGTAGTGCCCCGATGATCTTTGCGATTTAAAGCTCTGAGTGGCACTGTAACTGTTATGAACAGACGTGTAGCTTACCATCAGGCACGACTTGTTCGTCCCGTCACTTGATATTATAAAAAAAAAACTTAGCAATAAAATCTTAAAACATATTTTTCTTAATGGATAATTCGGAAACATCAAAGACTCAAAGAAACATAAAAAAATTCAAAGTAAAAATATTTCATATAGAAATCGTGTTGTGAAAACCTAACGCTATACTACAACTGACAATCAAACTAGCATAATGATAAATGACAACGAAACTTGTATGTTTGCGGTTTCATATAATAACATCATCGTCAAACACATTAGAAAATAATAAACACCGGGAGTGGCGCTTACAGTGGCAACGTATTAATTCGTGTCAAACGTTAAGTCGCTTAATAGCTAATGGGCCACAAAAAAAGGAAAAAGTAAATTATGTGACAGCCGAAAAAAGCTAAAGTGTATTAATGTCGTGTTTAGCGGACGTCAAAGTACCGACGATATTGGAGACGGAAATAAAGATAAAAACTCGTACACATAACTAGCTGAATCCGTTTTTTTTTTTAGCATTTACTTGTTGATCCTTTAAATACGTGAGGCGCACTATAAG